GCCTTTTTGCCTCTAAGATAAGGTATCTGTGAGATGTCTGGGTAACTTGTAACTTCCCTTTTTCTGGAGCCCCTGGGGCACAACCAAATGTGGTGGGCGCCAGGACAGATGCCTCAACTTCCTTTGTTATCATGTTAATTGTTCCTGCACTCACTTGAGTACACGTCCATCATTTTATATTTTATCCAAACCCAGGAGTTTCCCACCGCTTTGCTTTCTCCCGCCTCCTTACTCCATCACCAATGAATTTCATGTAACCCACCTATGTCCCTCTTTTGATTTCAGTGTATAAACAGAGAAATGTAACCCCGCCATTCTCCGGAGCGTTATCTCATTCCATTGAGGTTCTGCTTCCCGGCAAATGTCAACAGTTTGGCTGAAATAAACTCACAAAAATTCTTTACAGGTTTCAATGTGTTTTTTTTTTTTCATTAACAAAGTTGAGGGTCGCCGAAACCGGTTTGGCTCAGTGGTAGAGCATCGGTCTGTGCACTGAAAGGTCCCAGGTTTGATTCCAGTCAAGGGCATGTACATTGGTTGCGGGCACATCCCCAGTAGGGGGTGTGCAGGAGGTGGTGGTCAATGTTTCTCTCTCATCGACATTTCTGGCTCTCTATCTCTCTCCCTTCCTCTCTGTAAAAAATCAATTAAAAAAATGTATTTAAAAAAAAAAAAGTTGAGGGTCATGTACATGCTTCTCCGAATGCATGGCCAATTCAAATTGTCCTTGCACTCCCAAGTTCGTGTTTGTGTAGAGTCTGGAACGACAGGGGAAGGCCCAGACTTACTGCTCAGTGACCCATAGTGTATGCTGGTTAGACTGCAGTTTTTACTCACCCGATCTCGCACGTTTTCCGCAGTGAGCAGGGGGCACGGTTAAAATCACAGTCTTGGAGTGCTGGCTTTGCGAAGCCGCCATATTTGATTGCTATGCTGTGGTCTGCGAGATGGAGTGTGCTTGAGGGAGGAAGAGGAGGAGGAGGGACCGAGCTCCTCTCACCTTCGCACACACCAGCGCAGCCCCAGAGTACCCACCCGCTCACGCACTTTTCTGCTCCTCACAGCCCCCCATTGTTCTCCCTGGACTCCTCTCTCAAATCAATAATAATAATAAAAAAATACCTTTAAAGGAAGAAAAAAACAATTCATATGCTTTAAACTGCGTGTCTTTCAGAGTTGCGTGATGAAGTCTTTGGCCTTCCCTGAGTGCCATGCCCAGGTCACAGGTCACCCCTTGGCCCAGTGCTTCTGCCCTGTGCAGGCAGCCAGCCCCAAGGTCAGCACCTTATACCCATCACACAGATGGGGAGGCCGAGGCTCCAGGGCAAGGCCTTGCCTGACAGACACCTCCCAGCTGGTGGTGGCAGAGCCAGGTGCCAGGAATCTCACCAGGCCTGTGATGCTGCCCATCTCTCTCCAGGGTCACAGCCACTTTGCTCCAGGCCGCACAGCACTGGGACCGGGAAGAGCTGTGGGACAGGGACCCTCGTCTTTAAAGGCAGGAGCAGTGAGAACTGGTCCTTGGAATGGGCAGCAGGAGACGTCCTGGGGGAGACTCGACAAGAAGGGGCCCGAGGGCAGAGAAAGGGCCTCCCATGTACAGTCGGGAGCCTGGCTCGGGCTGTTTCCCAGCTGGGAGGCTCCTGGACAAGCCCCCCAGCTCCTCAGAGCCTCAGTTTCCCCATCTGTCAGATGACCCTCAGGCCTGCCTCCGGAGGTGACCAGAGGGACGGGGTGAGGAGACGGTCCGCACCGAACAGGTCAGGGTTTGGGGGAGCTGCAGGATGCGGCTGCCTGCTGGCAGGAGCTCAGTGCCTCTGGCCTCTCACAGCAGCGGGAATGGCTGGTGCTGCTCACAGGGCCCCACGCCAGCAGGAGGACATGCTGCCCAGGCTCCCCACTGAGAGCCCTCCTCCTGGGTGTGGGAGGAGCTGCCCGTCACTAACACCCTGGAGCTGAGGGGAGTGCTGGCAGATGTGGGGGACGGAGCCCTGGTGGCTTTGCCCAGGCCAGCAGCTAGGAGGGGGCAGAGTGGGAAGGACCAGAACCAGCTTCCCTGACTCCAAAGCCACCCACCAGACCCAGCCTTTCTTCTTTTAAAATATCTTTTTACTAGAGGTCTGGTGCAAGGATTCGTGCACCAGGGTCCCTCAGCTGGCCCGGGCCCTCTAGCAATCCGGGAGGCACCCGGCCAGGAAGGAACCACGCTAGGTCTCCAGCTAGAGTCCGGCCTTCTTGACCAGTCCCTATTGGCCAGACCCCAGCTGCAAACTACCTACTGGTCAGAGCATCTCCCCCATAGTGGTTAGTTCATGTCATAGCAATTGGTCAAAGGGTGGAACAGTCGGACACTTAGCATATTAGGCTTTTATATGTATAGATTGATTTCAGAGAGGAAGGGAGAGAGAGATAGAAATATCAATGGTGAGAGAGAATCATTGATCAGCTGCCTCCTGCACACCCCACACTGGGGATTGAGCCCACAGCCTGGGCATGTGCCCTTACTGGGAACTGAACCCTGACTTTCTGGTTCATAGGTTGATGCTCAACCACCAAGTCACACTGGCCAGACCCTAGCCTTAACAAGTTACCTCAAACTGGTGCTCATATGCTAGGGGAGGATAGGTTACTCTGAGGACAAGGTTCTTGTTTTCCCCGTTTTCCCCTTGCTAGGTATTAGGGTTTTGGCTGGTGATAATGCAGGCTGTGAAAGAATTCACAACTGGGCGAAGGAGATAGATACTGAGAGAAAGAGAGTTTATTTAACTTTTCCTGAAGGGAAAAAAGAAATGGTGCATTGCTAATCAAAACAAGGGCAGGTAATAAGCATTTGCCTGCTCTTTTAAAAGGCAATGGCTGCTGTTGTAGGTGACAAGGAAGCAGGGGGTTGGGGCTGGATTTGGGGCTGGGACAGTCTGGCAGCTATCTTATTAGTATTTTCCCCAAACCTGTGAAACATGCCTAGAGTAAAAGTTAGGAAAAGCTAAAATGAGGCTTGTTTGAAGAGGACAGGGGAAGGGAACTTTCTACTAACTAGTGACTTCCTGGTGCAGATTATCCTGGAGTTGTAAAAACAGCAGGGAGGAGGGGTATGCAAGAATGTAGCTTTGAAAGTAGCTTGTCTTATAGTTTGAGCAGAGGGGCTGTTTGAATGAGAGGAGCTAACAATCTTGGGTTTTGGTTACCAGGTGCTTCTCATTAATTGTGGAAGGCCACAGCAAGGGCAAAGAGGCCTTTTTCTTGTCCTCATATGCACACTAGGCACCCAGGGCTTTCTTCCCTGGTGTTTCCATACCCGGACCGTCATCTCTGCTCTGCTCATGCCTGTCTAACACCATCCCTAGGTGGCAGCTCCTCCAGAGCTACCCCTCTGGAGCGATTTGGGAATGGATAAGGGAGGAGCAGAGCGAGGGTGGGGTGCGATGAGGACAGGGTGAGAGGGGCTCCTGGGGAAGCAGTCTGGAATGGAAGAGGTGAGTCAGGACATAACCTGGGAGACAGACACACAGGACAAGGCTCCTGCTTTTCCTGCACCATTCACTCAGAAAGGTCCTTGGTCATTGTATGGACTGAATTGTGTCTCCTCACCCCAAATTGACATGCTGAAGTCCTCAGAAGGTGGCTATCTTGGAGTCAAGGCCTTTACAGAGGTGATTCAGTTTAAATGAGACACTTAGGGTGGGCCCTGACCCAATCTGACTGATGTTCTTACAAGAAGAGAAGTTGGAACACGAGGGACCTGAGGGACTCACCAAGGTCATGCTCTAAGGAAAGACCATGTGAGGACAGAACAAGGAGGCAGCCATCTGCAAGCCAGGGAGAGAAGCCCCAGGGGCAAGCAACCTGCTGACACCTCCATCTTGGCCTTCCAGCCTCCGGAACTGTGAGGGTCTAAGTGTCTGTTGCTAAGACCCTCCCCTGTGGAGTTGCTACTGAATCACCTCCCAAAATCCAGGTTTGTGTGTCCGATGAGGTCATAGCCAAAACACAGAGACACCGGTGCTTGAAGACAGAGGAAGGTTTATTGGGTTTGGCCAAAGAAGAGGACAGCGAGATCTCTCAAATGTGTCCTCCCCAAAAAGCTAAAATCAAGGGTTTTTATGCAGCGAGGGGCCTGGGGGAGGGGAGCTTCAGAGAAGCTGGAGAGAAATCCATGCTTTTTCAGTGTTAGATAGGGCTTCTCCATTTCAGCTCCAGGAGCCAGCCGCTTGGAGACATCTTTCCGTCCCAAAAATAAAGCCATGGATTCTCCTCAGTCCCTGAGGAGACAAAAAGACAGACACGTTAGCAACTTGTGAGGACCTTCCAGAGAACAAAGGGAGTTGAGCAGGAAGAGTTTTGCCACGTGAAGAAAAGCTTCAGTAAGCATAGCTGCTCAGCCCACCTCGTGTGGTTCAGTGGTTGAGCAGTGGACTCTGAACCAGGAGGTCACGGTTTGATTCCCCCTTCAGGCTCAATCCCTAGTGTGGGGAGTGCAGGAGGCAGCTGATCAATGGTTCTCTTTCATCATTGATGTTTCCATCTCTCCCTTCCTCTCTAAAATCAAATATATATATATATATATATATATATATATATATATATATATATATATATATATATATATATAATATTTATTATTTTATTTTTTTAATAGCTGCTTAAAAGACTAGGGGCATTAACACCACAGGGGCTGGGCTACAGTTTGTTACTAAGGAAGCCTTAGCAACCGAATGCAGTCATTCTCTTCTCCTCAGTCTTCTGATGGCCACACTCATACACATCATGACCACTTGTGTTTGGTTTAGTAACATATGATTAATGTGGCGAGATGGGAGGCCCATGGAAGGGGGAGCACCTTTCTCGGGGGAGAGAGAGGCATTGAGGGGTGGAGGGAGGAAGGCTTGGGTGGGAGGCACCTGAAGGAGCAGAGAGGTTCAGAACCCAAGTGAAGGTCTTGGGAGGTAAGTGGTGTCTGTGTTGGGGGGGGGGGGGGGGGGGGCGGGGGACTGATGAAACCCCTACCAGAGGATTTCATCAAGCTTCTGCTGCAGACTATAATAATTTCGACGCACATTCTTCCAGTACTTAAAAGGCCTTCCCCCGTGGTACACAAAATTATCCCAGCAGTATTCAAAATCTGCAGTAAAGAGGGGAGAAAGCAGGCAGGTCAGCCTAGGAGCCTTTCTCTCCTGGGCCTCCCCTGGGCAACCCCACTCAGGGCCCAGTTTCCTCCTTGCCAGGTGTCATCACTCCTGCCTCAGTTTCCCAAGTTCCCCTGCCACTCACTCTCCCTGGGGACTTCTACCTGCCCCCCCCCCCCTACACTCCCATTCCTGCCCAGATCCCTCGGCTCTCACCCTCTGGGGCCATCATGGCCACCTTGGCCCCTGCATCCACCAGATCTCGAAGCCCCTGGTCATCTTCGTTCTCGTAGTAGAGGCGGGCGGCGGAGAGGCTCAGGTCCACGTTCACGTTCCTCTTCAGGAACTGAGCCACCTGCTCTGCACACTCCAAGCAGGGGCTCCAGGATATGAACCAGGTGACACGGTATTGCACATGAGGAGAACTACAGAACCAATCCAGGAAGCAGAGTTCTGCATGGTCATGAAACAGCTGGGAGAGATGAAGAGAGAGGACCCTCGTGACATTAGCAGGCATGTGACAGAGGAGACATGTGACAGAGCAGGCATGTGACAGAGGAGACATGTGACAGAACAGACATGTGACAGAGGAGACGTGACAGAGCAGGCATGTGACAGAGCAGGCATGCGACAGAGCATGCATGTGACAGAGGAGGCATGTGATAGAGCAGGCATGTGACAGAACATACATGTGACAGAACAGACATTTGATAGAGCAGGCATGTGACAAAACAGGCATGTGTCATGACTGGGGGCTGGGCACCAGGGGACAGGAAGCAATAGTCTCAGGGTCATGTTGTTGATTATCTGCATTTTATTCTTTAAAAATACGTTTTTAACGATTTTTATTTTTTAAATATTTTTTTATTGATTTCAGAAAGGAAAGGAGAGGTAGAGATGAGAGAGAATCATTATTGGCTATCTCCTGCATGCCCCACACTGGGGATCAAGTCCACAACCTGGGCACATGCCCTTGACTGAAATCAAACCCAGAACCCTTCAGTCCACAGGCCTCTATCCACTGAGAAAACCAGTGAGGGCTATTTTCTTTTTAAATATATATATTTAATTTATATATATATATAAATTAAATATATATTTATTATATATATCAAATTATATAATATAATTTTTTATATATCAAATTTTATATCTATAAAATTTATAATATATAAAATTATATATATAATTTTTAATTGATTATTTTTTACAAAGAGGAAGAGAGAGGAATAGAGAGTTAGAAACATTGATGAGAGAGAATCATTGATCAGTTGCCTCTTGCACATCCCCTACTGGGGATGTGCCCACAACCAAGGTACATGCCCTTGACCGGAATTGTACCTGGGACCTTTCAGTCTGCAGACCGATGCTCCATCCACTGAGCCAAACCGGTTTCAGCAACTGAGGGCTATTTTTATTGATTTTTAGAGAGAAGAATGGAAAAGGGGAGATAGAAACGTTGATGAGAGAGAAGCATTGAACAGCTGCCTCCTGCATGCCCCTCACTGGAGATCAAATTTGCAGCCTGGGATTGTGTCCTGAATGGAATCTAACGGTGACCTCTTGGTGCAGGGGTCGATGCTCAGCCACTGAGCATCCCCACAGAGCAATTCACCCCTTTGGAAACCCCTCCCCGCCCCAGTGTTTTACTGACTCATCCCTTCCCACCTCATCCATGAACTCCGACACCCGCCCTCCCATTCTCTCATTCTACAAGCTTTGGGGGTGTCTGCTCCAGGCCAGGCCGCTGGGGCCAGGCTTGTTCCCGGGTGCTGCCTGCCGGAAGGGCCCGGGGCCGTGCTGCCCACAGGCAGCCACTGGCACAGGGTCTCCTGTGCTCTTGATGTGCTCGCCTGCATGGATGTGTGCGACAAACACGGGACACACACCTCGTCTCCGTGACGTAGTACGAACGAAGAATGCAAGCTATCTCGTGAACTATTATATGAACTGCTGGAGGTCTGATGCATGAAAATCCGTGCAAGAATAGGCCTTCCTTTCCCTGGCTGCTGCCACGGGCTTCCTCAGGCACCCAGGACCCGGGCTTCCCTCCTCCTCCGGCTGCTGGCAGGCACCTGGGACCTGGGCCCCAGCTTCGTCCGGAAGGACTTCTAGTCTAATTAGCATATTATCCTTTTATATTATAGATATGTTGAAACACTATCTTCGATATATTACTAAGTACGTTATCAACATTAAATGGATCGATTTCCCTGAACGTTTGCACACCGGGTACTAGAAAACATTAAATGGATCGATTTCCCTGAACGTTTGCACACCGGGTACTAGAAAACATTAAATGGATCGATTTCCCTGAACGTTTGCACACCGGGTACTAGAAAACATTAAATGGATCGATTTCCCTGAACGTTTGCACACCGGGTACTAGAAAACATTAAATGGATCGATTTCCCTGAACGTTTGCACACCGGGTACTAGAAAACATTAAATGGATCGATTTCTCTGAACGTTTGCACACCGGGTACTAGAAAACATTAAATGGCCTAAGTGACCCGATTACCTCCCATGGAGAAGTACTGCCCCAGGGACACCCCTCCATCCCATAAGCGCTCTGAATAGTCCGCAGTCCGGGTGGAGGAGGGAGGGCTGTGTGGTGGGCATTTCACAGGAGACATTGCTGCTTGCTGAGCGGGCTGGGGCACACAGGATGTGGGTGTGGGTGCTGCCCTGGGGATCCACATCCTGGGCCTGGAGGCGGCAGAAAGTAGCTGGGGGGGGGTGGGGGGAGGGGGCACAGCCAGCAGAGCACTTCCGAGGCCCCATAAGGCTCTGGTGCACAGCGGGCCCTGACTGTCCTAGACCCTCTTTCCTCTCTTTTCTCTTCTTTCAATCAACATTTTAATAGCAAAGATACCATTTCTAACATGGTCAAGTATACTTGGCTAAGCCCGGATTTTTAAAAACACAAGTATCTAGTCAAAGAGTATGACCGCCTAGCTTTGTACAGAACATCCCATAGGTCAACAGAAAATACATTTGAGCACCAAAATATTTGGACTCTCTAAAGAGACTCTCTAAGCAGCATTTTATTTCTGCAGAACAAACATATACCTTGTACTGATTTAAAAAGCACTGGTAGATAAGTACATATAGTCTTAGCAGACTAAGTCATTAACAATAACCTGGTAACCTTTCACTCCGATTTGGATGATTCATAAGCTAAATCTTACGACCACAACAAGATTTTTTTTATTGGCATTAAGATATTACCATGTTTGACAAAACAAAAAAACCAAAACACAAACAACTTAAAATATTTTCTATTTCAAAGGAAAATCAGCAACGCAGCTGTGCACCGTACTCTACGGTGGTTTTGTCTCACGTGAGGGCTACTCTACCGAACAGGGATGCTCCCCGGGGCTGCCCCACGGAGGGCGCAGCAGGCCCGGCTCCCTCACGGGCGCGTGTCCTGGAACACAGCTTCATAAGGACACGTAGGCCCCCACCCCGTTCTAAAACTCACAGCAAGGAAAACCGACCCCAAACAACGTGAGGCTGGTCCCACTACATTTCCAACCCCTGCTCCACTGGACCGACGGTGGATAAATAATCTGTTTGCTAACTCTACTGTTGCCGAGAAACATGTAATTTTCAGTTGCACTCAATTCGTTTCTTAGTCCACGGAGCTCTGGAAGATGGAAGAATACCAGACCTTCTAGGTGTGAAGACAATGAACATTGGAGAGCATTGCTGAGCAACTCTCAGAGCTGGCTCCTAGGAAAAGGGGATGACAGACACACAGACACCTCTAAAAGAGCATTGAAAATTAAATTATTTATGTGTAATTTCATAACTTTCCTGAAAAGGAAGTGCGCAAGCATTTTAAGTGTCTGAAAGCGCAGTTAAAGACAAAGAAGAAAACACATGATAAGTGACAACCACATTTCCCTGGGAAGAGAGTCACTTTTCAGTTATTGGGGAAATGCCATTGCTGTAGGAAAGCAATGGTGAAACCCCTGTGATGCGTATTTAAGGACATTTTAACACGCTTTCAAGCTCATGTTTTTCCATCAAAACTCTGCTGAATTAGGTCTGGCAAGTCAACTTAGCATTGGTTGGTCATTTTGTGCTTTCAAAGGGTTCAGAATATTTTTCAACCCTTTATACGTCTGGTCTGGCAGACAAGCTATGTTCCTTAGTGTGTGTGTGTGTGTGTATCTTCATTTATAAGTAGAGGCCTGGTGCATGAAATCATGCACGGGTGGTATCCGGCTGGCCTGCCACCAGTGGGGCTGATTGGGGCGGGACCAGCTGGAGGGAGGGGCCAATGGAGGTTGGCCACCCACACCCTCATTCAGGGTAGTGGGGGCTGATCAGGGCCGCAGTGTGCATCAAAGCAACTAGTTGTTCGGTGTTCTAGTCGCTCGGCTTTTATATATATATAGCCTAGAGGCCTGGTGCACATATTCATGCACCGTTGGGGGGCATGGCCTGCAGGGATCTGCCCACTGTGGGAGCAATGCTCATCCTGGTCAGCCAAGCTGTGCTCTCACTGTGGGAGCGCACTGACCACCAGGGGGCATCTACTGTGTTAGGTGTTTGCCCCCTGGTGGTCATTGTGCGTCATAGTGACTGGTCGACCAGGCGTTTTGGCCATTCGGTTCAGTTGCTGGGCTTTTATATGAGAGATTGCTATAATTCACGTTTTTATGGTTCTAATCCAGTTATTTAACGTTACGGCAAACACATTCATTTTTGCAATTCTCCTACAACCAACATCTTGAGTATCAAGCTTAGCCTGTGGGAAATTTCTTATGATAAGCCACAGCACATAACAGAGGCTGCTATACGGCCTATCAGAGAGACGTCAGGATGTGAGCGTTACCGCTGAGGCAGCCCACAGCTTGAGCTCCCAAGGAGAATGGGGTGAGAAGAGTGATCCCTTTGTTGGATATATGATCTCAGTCTGAGACCCATTTTGCTAACGTGGCTTACTGGCGGAGTTCCAATAACAAAAGAGCAATCACTGAGAAGCAGGACAGGGAGATGAAACAGGCCTTTATAAAAATTTTGCTTTTGAATATGGAAAAAGCATTTATGCATGTGAGTCCAGTCGAATGTACACTTTTCTACACAATAAGCCTGGCAGAACTTTTACCGGAGCTTAGGTGCTCTTTCCTCCAGACAGCTCAAGACGAGGGAGCCCTGAAGGCCAGCAGGCTCGCTAGAGGACGCCTCGTGGGTAAGTCAAAGGCCATCGTCTATGGCAGCACCACCCACCTTCAGACCTCACCCCCCCCATGCTCCATGGACCACCGGCTGGCAACTGCTGGTCTATGGCGATCAGGAGGGTCAGGCAGGGCATCCGGGGCAAAACGCAGGACAGAGTTGTGGGAAGAAGCTCTGGCATTTTACATATTGTCATCTCCCACCTCCTTCCCTGGCTGAGCTCCTGCCTCTGATGGTCACATCGTGGGGCACATACCTGGTTTCGAAAGACACCCTTCAGAGAGTTAAGAAATGAGCCATTCTTCCATCTTTCCACCTCGAAGCAGAGGAAGGTAGACTTCCGCCCGTAGGAATTTATGTTTTGGAAGTTGAAGTCGAAGATCTTGGGATACAGTCTTCTCATTCGATTGCAGGGGGCAAGAAAGAAAACCGAAAATTCAGTGCTCCCTCCAGTTTCTCCATCTGGTGACTCCTGAACACCATGGAGAGCCTGGGCACCTGCCTCCCAATAACCCCTTCCCTCCAGCATTTCCTGCTGCCTCCAGGCAGGAAGCTGGGAGAGAAGAGGCAGGGACAGTGGGCAGGGGGATGGGGTAGAAGCGGGGGCTCCTGTCCTCTCCCTTAGGGCCGGCTCTGCTGCTTCCAACAGCACATCCCCCCTCCCTCCCGCCATCATTTCAATTCAGAAATGAGGAATAGAATGGCTTCCCCCCCCAAACACTGGGTTTTCATGCTGAGGTGGAGCTCATGCCTGACCTTCACTTCTGCACATTTCTGATTATTTTTTAATGTCAGGCTCACACCTACACTCCCAGGTCTGGCTCCTGCTCTGAGTCCTGGAATCTGAGCTCCTCTGCTCCTCCCCGAATCCAGGGGCCTCACCCCATTTCACAGAGGAGGACACGGGGCACAAGGCTCAGGGCTGCTAAGTGACAGAGCCGGTCCCTGCCCAGGCAAAGCCATGCCCAGCCCTGGCATGAGGCCAGCTGGCCGTGCTGGCTCTCCTGGGTGAGCGGCTCTTCCTCCCTCGTTGTCAACGGCATTCCCCCACGGGGGTGACTGCCAGCGCCCGGCGGGCGAGTCTCTGGGACAGTCTGACCTGGCTCTCCTGCTCCCGGAGCCGGCACCTGGGGAGACAGGTCTTCCTCCTGCTCAGCGAGCTCCTCTCCCTCCGTGTGGATAACGGGACAGTAGCACAGAGAGTGAGTGGATCCCCGTGCTCCAAACCCCATGCCCAGTGCTCCCCTCATCCTTCAGGCAGTTCTGATGGCCAAGAGGGCCCGGGAAAGGCCACAGACCAGGGGCCCCACAGGCAGGGGGAGAGGGAAAGGAGTGCAGAGTGAGAGGAGGGCCAAGGGGACAGCAGGCCTGGGGGAGGGCCGGGAGGGCCATTCAGAAGCACCGGTGGGGGCAGCCCCAGGAGAGGGCACGGCCCCGGGGAGTGGGACCTGCAGAGAAGGAGCCCAGAGAGGGCGAGAGGCCAGGCTGGAGCAGGGGGACAAGGGTGAGGACAGAGACCCCTCAGGGCGCCCACGCAGAAAGGGCTGCAGGAAGGGCGGGGCGCGGGCAGTACCTGGGCCAGGGCACCGGAGTGGAGTCTTGGTTCCAGTGTTGCTGCGGCATTTCTGCTCTCAGGCCCAGGTTTCAGGAAAGTCCCTGGTAAAGAACCTTCCCGCCTTCTCAGCTGAGGCCCCAGCTGCTTCCTGTTTTGGCAGCAGGGTGGGCGGGCCCTGCGGTGTGGGCCTCCTCCCCTGCTGCTCTGGGGCCGCCCTCTGCACAGCGCTGACCTCTGCTGGAGATGGAGCCTCTGGGCAGCAGGACCAGGCTGCCTGCAGAGGGAAAGGGAAAGGGATGGTGGAGAGAGGGGATGGGCCTGCACCTGAGGGGCAGATGTGCCTTGAGTTCCTCCTGGGCTTGGTCTCTGCTTAGGCCCCTCCGCCCTCACAGCGTGGGGAGGACCCCGCTGGCAGCCCCTGTCCCTCCTGCTTTAGCAGAGCTTTCAGGCAAGCTGGATAGGGACCCATGGCAGATACTTTGCAAATGCTTTCTTTCAATGAGTAGCTAGGTTCTGGATTCCTGAAGTCTTTCCATGTATAGATGCCTTAATTTTTAATGTTTTCAAATGTGTTCGTTTTGTTATATATGTACATGACATGGCAGACATGACATTTTTATTTTGTATTCGATAGCCATTGCAGGGACAATTAATGAGTTTCCTTTCTTTCCATGTCATTTAGTCCTACTGATGTGCAATGCCACAACCCTAGTGTGTGTGTGTGTGTGTGTGTGTGTGTGTATGTGTGTGTATGGTTGTCTCTGACTCTCTCATGTGCTCCTTTGCCTCACCTGCCCATGCCTTGGCGACTACCATACTGCACTGCCAGGGCTTCAGGTAGGTCCAATATCTGCTATGCCGATCCACCTTAGCTTCACCTTTGAGGTTGTATTGGCCTTGCGCAGTTCTCCATGAATTTATGGACAAAATTTCCTTAAAAGATGTTTTTAAAATTAATTTTACAAAGAGGAAGTAAGGGGGAGAGAGAGAAAGAAACATCAGTGATAAGAGAAGCATTGGTTGGCTGCCTCCTGCATGGCCCTACTGGGAAAAGAGCCCCCACCTCAGGCGTGTGCCCCTGCATGAACCGCCTGGTTTGTGGGTCCATGTTCAACCATTGGCCCAACCAGATGAGAGATGGACAAACTTCTTCCTGTTTCATAAGATACCCTATTATCAATGTGTAGCTCAATCTTAGCAGGCATAGACATGGCAGAGGCACTGAGAATCTCCTTCCATGAACATGGTATATATATCTCCATTTTTACAGGCATTCTTTTATGCTCTCAGCGAGTTGAAGTCAACTTAAAGGGGAACCAGGAAGGGAAGGAAAGAGGCAGCCGTGAGGGCAAAGAAAAGGAAAGGGAGCACGGGGAGGAAGGAACAGGATCAAAAAGGAAGATATACCATCTGGGCAGATGGAGAGAAGTGAAGCAGCGTGGAGAGAGGAAAGAATGGAGGGAGGAAAGGGGCAGAAAGAGAGGGTGTGAATGCGGGTTTCGTCTTGTCCACCTGCAACCTTGGGAAAAGGGTAAAAGAACTTGGCCTCAGGGCACTATGGTGTTCAGTCTTCATTCCCTGCTCTGAGAATTGCCGATAAAAGGGACTTTGCCCAGGTCCCGGGACACGGTGAGTCTGCACCAAAAGGCAGGGGTTAATTTAAAGCAACAGAAATGGAGGCCCTCTCAGTAGGTCCTGCTTACACGGGCATGGTGCTGACAGTTCTGGGACTGGCATTCTCCCTGGCACACCTGCAGAAGGGACGGGAAGAGACAGGGATGAGGGCTGCAGCCCACAGGGCATGCTGGGAGTCCTGGGGAGAGGAGACAGGAGGAACACCCAGGGCCCAAGGAGGAGCTGGCAGAGGATAGGGAGAGAGTCACATCAGGGAAGACAGGAGGAGGGCTCAGGAGCAGGGCCCAGCCCTGTCCGGTGTCTCAGCCTTGACCACTGCTGAGGCCCCCAATGCTGCTGGTCACCACGTCTTCCCAACACCTGGCTGCACCTGGTGTGAGCAGACAGGGCTGCAGGACTGAAGGGTTATTTGTAAACAGACTGATTTATGAAGCCAGAGACTTCCCTCTTCCTTACAATAACCCCCTCCTCTGTTAAAGACCAACTATCTCAGACATCATCCCAGATGCCCGAGCTTTAACTGTCACCGCAGCCCCGCGGTCAGTCGCTGTTCCTCTCTGAGTGTTACAGGTGGGGAACCAGGAGGCAGTCCTGTTCCCTCTGCCACACCCACAAGGTCCCCAAAGGAGGGAAAGGCCGCTGGAAACAGATTGATGGGCCGCCCATCGGCTGGCCTTCATGGCGGGTCCCCGCTGTTGCCCATCGAAAGGATGTACAGGCTGAAACGTTCTGTGGTTGGTCCAGTCCCCTCTCTGCCTGCCCCCAAGGAAGGAGGCATGATAGTGGAGGTGGCCGCCACCTTGGACAAGACCAGCAAGAGAAGAACACCCCCCAGAGCTGAGTTGGGGCCAGAGGCTGGGCCGAATTCCAATAGCATCCCTGAGTGGCTGAGCCTGACCCACAATGTCCTCCTCCTCCCACAGGTCTTGTCCTGGGAAACAAGCTGACTCTCAGCCCCTCAATGGCGGCCACAGTCCCCTGACAACCCAGCCTTCTGCCCTGGATCTCCTTCCTGCCCCTGGTCTCCCCTCATTGGCCTCAGGACTGCTTTGTCCAGCCCCTCAGACCCCCACCCTCCCTGTCCTTCCCTTCCATCTCTTCAGGTCGCTGTGTCTGTCAAGTCTTCCCTCTGGCTTGTGTCCTCCTGACTCAGTCCCTTCCTACTGCTTTGGCCACGAGCATCACCACTGTCCTTATCCTCTGTCCCTCCAACGTCTCTCACACTGAAGGGTTCAGTCCCAGCCCCTCACACCCTGCGGGAGGCTGAGGGGGGTGGTCCGGACAAGGGAGCAGAAGCCTGTGGTGAGAGTCCTGGGAGCCCTCGTTGCCTGTAAGGCCTTGTGCGGGAAGCCAGCTGGCAGGGCCTCGCTCAGCATGGTTCAGGCTCCACAGAGACACGGAGGACAGTCAGCTTCTGCCGGCCTGCATCCTACGTGGCCAGGTTCTGGCAAGGGCAGAGGGATCCTCTCTGCAGGGAAGCCCCTCCCTCCAGCATCCTCTCCAGGGAGTGGAGCGGGAAGGGCCTGAGGACTGCAGTCCTCCCCAGCCCTGCCTCAGCCAAGCATCCACTTCAGTTGCTCTTCCCAATAGCGACCCGGAGTCTCTCTCTGGCCTTATTGCGTGGGCCATCATTTCAAGGCAGCCCTCCTCTCAGCATGTCCTGGTGGATGCCTCCAGGCTTTGGACTCTGAGATTCGCTCCTGTCAGTATCACTGACTTCACCTGACCAGGGGCAGTTACTGTGAGCCTGCCCTCCCTGGGGCACCCACAGAGAGAAAGGCGTTTTCACGTTTGCAAGGGCTCATGGGACTGTTTGGACTTCACGGAACACTTACAGAGGAAGAGACATTTTGTGGACGGGTCTTGAGCTTTCATGTTATTGCTCTGGATTTAAAATCAATGTAAATAATTAATCTTATAAATATGATTCTGATGGTAAGGAATAAAATGTTAATGGTGTGTATTTTAAATGAAGAGGTATTTTGTGGAAGGTTCTTAATCTTTCATGTTATTGCTCTGGATTTAAAATCAATGTAAAAAAATTAATCCTCTAAATATGATTCTGTTGGTAAGGAATAGAATGTTAACGGTGTGTATTTTAAATGAAATCACTGGTCTTAAATGAAAAAAAAATTAATCCGATTTTTAAAAAATTCCTTAGGAGCTCATTCATTGCCTTTTGCTGGTGTCTTTTGATCAATTTGGAGATGGTGGCAAATGATGAATTTTTATTTTAATTTTTTATTGATTTCAGAGAGGAAGGGAGAGGGAGAGAGAGAGATAAAACATCAATGATGAGGGAGAATCATTGACCGGCTGCCTCCCGCTCAGGTGTCGTGCCTGCACCCAGGCACCCTTGACTAGAATCCAACCCGGGACCCTTCAGTCCAAAGGCCGACGCTCTATCCATTGAGCCCAACCAGCTAGGGCCATTTTCACTTCTTGAAGAAATTGTTTTATTCGTCGTTCAGCAGAAGACCCCCTGCTGCTTAGAGAGAAGGAAATACATGCTTCAGTTTTCCGGATTCTGGATGGAGAAGGAGGAGGTAGAGGAAGCAGGATTGAGGTAGGTGGGAAGGTGAACAGAGCACAGTTTGGGACAGTCACAAAGGGGGGTGGGGAGAAAAAGGGGAGCAGGAGGGGAGAAAGCAGAGGGGAGGGATGGAGCTGGGGCCTAGGAGGGAGCAGGTAACCCAGAGGGAAAGAGAGCCCAGGGAGAAAAGGGGAGAAGGTGGGACAGGGGAAGCAGGAGGGAGGGATCTCACCCCAAGAATGTCCTCCAAACTCTTAGCTAGGCTGCAACTGTTTATGTATATTCCTTTCCAGTACCAGAATCGCTTTTTGTGGTCATCCACAAACATTTCCCAGCAGGAGGCAAAGTCTGAAAGGGACAGGGAGACCATGGTGGGCTTCCGGAGCCCTGAGGGGACTCAGCGCCTACTCCGAGGGACACCCTCTTCCCATCATGACCCCACACCCCTTCCCCTCTCCTTCCCGACTGCAGGTCACTCCAGGTCCTTCTCCCCAGGGAGCCAGGCCCGCCTCTCGTCCTTCTGGAAGCCTCCTTCTTGTACGTGTCCTCCTCCTCCCTCCCCAGCCTGGACCACCTCTCTCCCCTGACCTTCTTGTCCAGGAGGCTCCCCACCTCCCCGCCTCCCCGCCTCCAGCACCACCGCCACCTCCGCAGGCAGCTCAGGGGCTTCTCCTTCCTGCTGGGGATGCTAGGTCCTTCCTGCCTGGTCCTAGTCCCCCCCACCCCCAGCCCCCCAGTTCCTGTCTGGGTGCCTGGGCTCTCACCAGCTGGAGTCATTACTGCCACGTGGGCCCCTGCGCCCTGCAGGCTGCGCAGCCCCTGCTGGTACTGGGGGCGCCTGGGGTAGTAGAGGCGGGCGGCGAGGATGCTCAGCTGCACGGACGTGTGGTCCCTCAGGAACTTGGCCACCTGCCTGGCGCACTGGAAGCAGGGGCTCCAGGACATGAACCACGTGACCTGGTATTTCTCCTCAGGGGCCAGGCGCTGGGCCTGGAAGGCTGGCTGGGCCTTGAACCAATTCAAGAAGCAGATTTCTGCGTGGACGGGCTCCTTGGGATAGAACTGGGGGAGACGGAGAGAGGAGGGGGCCCTCTGGGCTGGCAGAGCAGGCAGGGGCAGGGCTGGAGGCGGTGGGAGGGTAGTGGGGGGGGGGCTGGGGACAGGGAGCCAGAGACTCAGAAGCATGTGATTGGTTGGTTGGTTGATTGATTGATTGATTGACTTCTCTCTAAATATCTCCCCTTCAGGCTATTTTAAGTTTAGTCATGCCCTCCCCCCTCATCCATGAACTCCAACACCCGCCCTCCCATTCTCTCATTCTACAAGCTTTGGGGGTGTCTGCTCCAGGCCAGGCCGCTGGGCCCAGGCTTGTTCCCAGGTGCTGCCTGCCGGGAGGGCCCGGGGCTGTGCTGCCACAGGCAGCCACTGGCACAGGGTCTCTGCGCTCTTGATGTGCTCGCCTGCATGGATGCGGGCGACAAACACAGAACACACACCTCGTCTCCCTGGGTAGTACGAAAGAAGGCAAACTATCTCGTGAAGAACTTCTATATTAACGAAATGCTGAAACACCATCTTCGATATATTACAAAGTACATTATCAACATTAAATTGGTCCATTTGTCAGAAAGTTTGAACACTGGGTACTGGAGAAGGTTACATGACCTAATCAGTGTTTCCCAAACTTTCGATATATGTGTACCCCTTCTATAATTTTCATAACGCTGAGTACCCCTCGTACTCATGAGAACGTAGAATTAGGCGCAGCTAAGCCCGGTGCAGTGCATATCCCCACCAAACTCCGGTGCAACGCGTACCCCCGCCAAACTCTTCCCGTACCCCTGGGGGTACGTGTACACACGTTGGGAAACACTGACTCAGTCACACCCATTACGCTACCCCGGGTAGGATGCCACAGGGACGCCCCGTCCAGCCCACAGGGGCTCTGAGTAGCCTGCGGTCCGGGTGGAGAGGGAGCACTGGAGTGGAGCAGCCTTCACAGGAGCCTCAGTGCGTGGCTGAGGGCGGGGGCTGGCCCTGTGTCTCTGAGGCTGCGTCCTCGCCTGGGTGTGCACCTGGCGATCGGGAGGGTCAGGCAGGGGCATCCGGGGTAAAACGCAGGACAGAGTTGTGGGAAGAAGCCTCTGGCATTTTACATATTTCATCTCCCACCTCCTTCCCTGGCTGAGCTCCTGCTTCCGACGGCAGCATCGTGGGGCACATACCTCATTCTCAAACACCCCGGAGCCCACCTCCGAGGACAAGCCCCCCTGTGTCCTTTCCACTCGGAAGCAGAGGTAGCAGCCTTTTCGATCTTCGGGGTAAGGCTGGTTCGTAAAGTGAAAGTAGAAATAATGACGACTGAACCTGCTCACTGGGTTGCTGGGGGCAGGAGAGAGAAGAGAAAATGCAGGGTTCCCTGGAGTTTCTCCCACCTGGTGGCCTGGGAGCCCTGCCTCCCAGCAGCCCTTCCCTTCAGCAATTCCTGCGGCCCCCCGGGCAGGAAGCTGGGAGAGAAGGAGGGCAGGGGCTGCAGGGACAGCGGGAGGGGGGGAGTGAGGGGAGGGGACAGCCAGCCCCACAAGTGCAGACTGAGAGGAGGACCAAGGGGACAGCAGGCCTGGGGGAGGGCCGGGAGGGCCATTCAGAAGCACCGGTGGGGGCAGCCCCAGGAGAGGGCACGGCCCCGGGGAGTGGGACCTGCAGAGAAGGTGCCCAGAGAGGGGGACAGGCCAGGTGGCCCAGGGGGACAAGGCTGAGGACAGAGACCCCTCAGGGCGCCCAGTAGAAAGGGCTGCAGGAAGGGCGGGGCGCGGGCAGTACCTGGGCCAGGGCACCGGAGCGGAGTGTCTCCTGGGCCTGGCTCTCAGTCCCCGGCGCTGGCGCGGCATTTCTGACTCAGGCCCAGGTTTCAGGAAAGTCCCTCAATGATAAAGAACCTTCCCGCCTTCTCAGCTGAGGCCCCACCTGCTTCCTGCTTTGGCAGCAGGGTGGGCGGGCCCTGGGGTGTGACCTTCCTCAGCCTCAGACCCCTCTCTCCTCCTGCTCTGGGGCTGCCCAGACATGGCCTCTGGGCAGCAGGACCAGGCTGCCTGCAGAGGGAAAGGGAAAGGGATGGTGGAGAGAGGGGATGGGTCTCTCCCCAATGGCCACACCTCTTCCCTTTCCCCGGCTCACTGACTGGCTCTGACCCATACATCCGCAGGCGGGGATGGTGACGGAGGGCAGAGGGCTGCTGTGGAACATTCTGGTTCTCTGTCCCCGGGCCATGGTGGAGCCCCGCTCCCCAGCAGCGCTGGGGTCAGCTTTGGCCAATGAGACGTGACACCTCCCTCAGGCAGAGCTCTAAAAGCCCAGCACCGGCCGCCGAGCTGCTGGGCCTGGTCCAGTGCCGGCTCCGGCCAGACCGCCCGGCCCCACAGGGACAGTGAGCGTCAGCAGGAAGAAGGAGCCGTGGACGGAAGCCACGGAGGCCGGGGGACTGCTGGTTCTGCCCAGGAATGAGGAATACGGACCCCGGGGCCAGTTTCGCTTCCTGACAGCCTCCCTGCTCAGACCCAGAGAACCCGTAGGCCTGCCTGTCCCCATCCCCAGGCCCTCCTTCACCCTGAGGGGCGGTGCATTTTCAAATTCTCCTCACCCTAGTCATCGCCCCTCCTCTCCCCTCCCCTCCCCTCCCCTCCCCTCCCTTCCCCTCCCCTCCCCTCCTCTCCTCTCCCCTCCTCTCCCCTCCCCTCCTCTCCTCTCCTCTCCTCTCCTCTCTCTCTCTCCCTTTCTTTCTTTCTTTCTTTCTTTCTTTCTTTCTTTCTTTCTTTCTTTCTTTCTTTCTTTCTTTCTTTCTTCTTCTCTCTCTCTCTCTCTCTCTCTCTCTCTCTCTCTCTCTTTGTTTGACAATCACACATCAAAAGTCAGAAGTATTCTCAGTAAGCCCTTTATTGGTACAGATTTTCAACAAAAATAATCCCAAACGTATTAAAACAAAACAAAACAAAACAAAACAAAACAAAACAAAACAAAACACGCCAACTGAAGCTAGTGTTGGGCCTAAGCCTCCATGGTGACAACACAAGGGTCTGTAATGTCCCGGGATCGCCAGGCGTGGCGCTGCGGTCGCTGAGTCTCCCGCACAGAGGAGCTCAATAGGAAGTGTGTTGAATGAATGGACGAATGAATGAAGGGGAGTGTGGCCAACAACCAGCAGAGGAGAGCAGCTCCTGTGCTCAGTTGTGTCACTTGCTGCTGGGCGAGGGGCAGGGCGAGGCCTGACAAAGACCCTTTCCCCCCAGCACAGCAGCGCGGGGGTGGAAACCAGCGGGAGGCAGGAGAGGAGGGCGGGACACGCAGACAGTTTGTACAAGTCTCATGGTCCAGAAAGGGGGGCTCTGCCTTTCTGGGAAGAGGATGGAGGGAGGAGCGGCTGAAAGGAGAGTTTTTGTTTGTGAAATCCCAGAGCACAGACTGCACAGCACCTGAACGGCCCTGGAATCGCACCCGGCACAGGGGAGCTCAATGTGAGGTGTGATGAATGAATGAATGGATGAATGAATGCGGGTCTAAAAAGAAGCAGGTGGAACCGGATTGGCTCAGTGGAAGAGCATCGGCCTGCGGAATGGAAGGTCCCCGTTTCGATTCTGGTCAAGGGCATGTACCTTGGTTGTGGGCACATCCCCAGTCGGAGGTGTGCAGGCGGCAGCTGGTCGATGATTCTCTCTCATCGATATTTCTAACTCTCTATCCCTCTCCCTTCCTCTCTGTGAAAAATCAATAAAATACATAAAAAAATAAAAAATAAAAGGCGGCAGGTTTCAGATGGAGAGGCGAGGGTGAGGGGTCCTTCCTGCTGAGGGGGGTCACTGGCTGGAGAGAGTCCGGAGGGAGCAGTGGAGCAGGAGAGGGCCGTCTCGCTTCCCCCGGAGATGACACATCTCACCCCCCAGTGGCAGCTCCACCGCTGTCATCAGCGAGGCTCCCAAACACACTCCCTGGCGTGGCTCAGTCCCTGGCTCACACGCACGCCGACGACACTGGTTGTGACAGCTCTTGTCGTTGCTGTCATGTTGCAAGGACGGCTTCACTTCCTCCTTCTTCCTCACGGTTCCACTTTTGACCACGTCTGACCGGGCGTTCGGATTTCAGTGGCTGAAAATCTTAAATGTCCTTTCTCACCAAGAGCAATCCTGGTGCGTCTGCGTGGATCTGACTGGCCTTCTCACCTGGGAACCCGTTTGGGACAGGACGCCCTCTGCCCTTTGGGGAAAGGCGTTCCTTCTTGGAAATGTGAGCTCTGCAGCCTCCTCTGTCCGTTCTCTGTTTCCTGGGGTATAACTGACAGTTAAGTGCAGGTCCTGGGATTCCAGGTGGCATAACCATCACCCAGACTGAGGGGAGGGGGGGGCTCTGTCCAGTATCCCAGATGGGAGTCCCTCCTGTCCCCTCCCAGCTGTCCCCCTCACAGGGAACCCGGGTTAGCATGTCTAGGACCACAGGCTGGTTTTTGCCTGACTTGGGACTTCATAGAAATGGGGACAAACAACATGATGAGAGGACAGGACAGGGTTAACTCCTGATTCCACTTTGTATAACCATGTCACTGTGTAACTGGACCCTAGTCCTCACCCGACCAATCAGGGCCAGCCAAAGCAATGACCTCACCAAGCACCCCAAACCCCTACAAATCCTTTGTTCTGTAGAAGCCTGCTCTCTCCCCCTCGCCATTGCATTGTGTACATGGGATTGAGCTCGGGCTAGCTCGAAATAAAAAGGCTCTTTGCTTTTGCGTCGGACTCGGCTCCCTGGTGGTCTTGGGGATCACAAAATCTGGGCATAACAATGACTCTACTGATATGTGACTTTTCACTCAGCATCGTTTTTATGGGCTCAGCTGACGCTCCCCGGAGGCCGATGGTCCTGTGAGGAGGAGGAAAAGCACACACAAAACATCTCCAGCAGCCTGTCCGGCCTCAGCCAGCTGTCCACCCACGAGGACAGATGTCACCAGCTGACAGGCCGCCCTCCCCACATCTGCACGTGGCTGTGGGCCCTCATCGAAACCCTTGTTTCCGGTTTGAGTTGAGGGTCATGCACAGGCTTCTCCGAATGCATGGCCAGTTCAAATTGTCCTTGCATCCCAGGTTCGTGTTTGTGCAGAGTCTGGAACGACAGGGGCAGGGCCAAACTTAATGCTCAGTGACCCATAGTGCACGCTGGTTAGACGGCAGTTTTTACTTACCCGATCTCGCACGTTTTCCGCAGTGAGGAGGGGGCACGGTTAAAATCACAGTCTTGTTAGCTACATCGAACGGGAGTGAATTGGCGAGGCCCACCTCGTCCCCTGCCCGGTGACACCAGGTCTCAGACTCACGGGGATTCGTGGCCTCCAGGGCTCTCAGAGAAACTGAGCTGCCCAGCCCGTGTGGCTCAGTGGTTGATGGTCTACGTATGAACCAGGAGGTCACGGTTCGATTCCCAGTCCAGGCACATGCCCAGGTTCCGGCTCCATCCCCATGTGGCGCCTGCAGGAGGCAGCCTATCCATGACTCTCAGCGTTGGAGTTTCTATCTCCCTCTCCCCCTTCATCGCTCTCTGAAATCAATAAAAGTGTGTTTTCAAAACCACCACAGACAGAGCAGGACAAGGCCGCCCGCTAAACGACACTCACCATGTATTGTCCTGGGTGACGGACACCCAGGCCGGGCAGGGAGATGCAGGACTGGAGCCGTGGCCAGCGCTCACGTGCAGGTCTACGCCCTCCTCCGGCCCCTTGTGCCGCCCCTCGCCCTGTTCCTGCCCCCGGCCAGCCTCATCCCCTCCCTGGGCGGCGAGGACAGGAAATGCCTTTAATGTCTGCGTAAGGGCTTTGGCTTCATGTCCCTCCAGACTCTCCTGTCCCCGGGGCAGGCCCCCGGAGTCTCCACAGGAGCCCCCGTAGAAACAGTGAATTTGTGGGTTCCCACCAGCCATCCTATCAGGGGGAGGACAGCCGCCCGCTGAAAGGGGCACAGGCTCAGCAGCTCCGGCTTTCCCATTGCCGCCCCCTCCCCCGGGAGACATGGCACCGGAGGGGAGCAGGCGCCTGAGGAGACCACAGACAGCGAGGGAGGCTGAGACGGGGGAGCCCTGGCCGGGGACTCTGCACAGAGAAGGAAGCGGGTGCCGCCTCCCCCAGGTTCCCCTCTTCTTCTAGAAACATCCAGGCCAGGGGGGCTCTGCTCTAGAGGAAGGGCAGGCAGGACCCAGGTGAGCCCAGCTCTCCTCAGGAGCCACCCCGTAAGGGGAAGGGCCTGGGCTCGGAGCCTGTGTCCCCATCATCCAGAGGAGAACAGAGAGGCTCCCTCAGGGGCGGCCAGGGTGGCCTGGGAGCAGGAGGAAGCTGGGCCCGCCTCAGGAAGGGGCCACGGCTCCTCCTCTGCACCCCCAGCCGCGAGGAACCGGGGGAGAAGGGCGACACTTTGTGTTCCAGGCTCCAGTGTGACCGGAGCCCAGCTGGTAGAGGCGGTCCCCGAGGGGCTGCCCCTCTGTCCCGCTGACTGTGCCCGCGGCTCCTCTCAGACCAGCCTGTGCCGGCCCCGCGCTGCCTCCCGGGGACCGTGCCCAGCTCGGGGCGTGGGGCCCAGGCCGCCCGCAGCGGGAACCAGGTCGCTCCCTCTCAGGCGGCTCCTCAGGTCCCACCAACAGTGTGGAGGTGGTTGAGCAGCCGGAATTCCTGAGACCACTGCCCCCCCCAGGGGGACCCACAAAAGAGAGAGCCTTTGCACTTTGCTGGTGTTTATTGAACTGTTTGGACTTCCTGCTGTACTTACAGATGAACAGACATTTTGTGGAAGATTCTTAATCATTCATGTTATCGCTCTAGATTTAAAATCAATAGAAAATCATTATTTCCCTAAAAAGTGATTCAGACAGTATGAAATAGAATGTTACCAGTGTGTGTTTGGAACACATCACAGGTCTTAAATGACAAGTAAATGGATCAGATTTTTAAAAATTCCTCAGCAGCCCATTGGCTGCCTCTGCTGGTCTCTGTGGGTCCAGGTGGAGATGCGTCATGTGATGCTTTTTCATTTCTTGAAGAAAATGTTTTATTCCTCGTTCAGCAGAAGACCTCCGGCCGCTCAGAGAGACGGACGTCCGTGCTTCAGTTTTCCGGATTCTGGATGGAGGAGGAGGAGATGCAGGAAGCGGGAGTGAGGCAGGTGGGAAGGTGAACAGAGCGGAGTCTGGGCGGTCACAAAGGGGGGGTGGGGAGGAAAAGGGGGGCAGGAGGGGAGAAAGCAGAGGGACTTGCGAGGCCTGAGGGGAGGGATGGAGCTGGGGCCCAGGAGGGAGCAGGTGACCCAGAGGGGAGACAGCCCAGGGAGAGAAGGGGAGGAGGTGGGGGCGGGGGAAGCAGGAGGGAGGGATCTCACCCTGAGAATGGTCTGCAGCTGCTGAGATTGTTCTTGTATTTGTTCTTCCATGTTAGGCCAGGGCTCGAACGGCTGGCCCTGGCTGTCCACGAAGGTGTCCCAGCAGTGCTGGAGCTCTGATGGGAACAGGGAGGGGACGGTGAGCGCCTTCCAGAGTGCAGGGAGGGCCCAGGTCTCTGACTCTGGGTACACACCCTCCACACCAGAATCTCCCGCCCCCTTCCCCTCTCCTCCCCAGGCACTGAGCTCACCCTCACATCCTTTCTTCCCACTGGGACTGGAATCTGAGGCAGCCCCAACCCTTCTACCAGGAAGGACCTGGTCCTTATGGCACAGGAACCCCCCTCCTCTCCCCAGAACCACTCTCTCCCCTGAACTCTCTCCTCCAAGAGACTCTGTCCTCTCCAGACCCAGCACCGCCCCCTGCAGGCAGCTGACAGGGGTCCCCACCCAGATTGTCCTCCTGCCCCCTCTGTGCAGCCTTTCCCCAGCCTCTCTGTCCGCCCACCTCCCCTACTCCCTCCCTGTCAGGAGTCTCCTGCTGACCATTGCGGGTCATGATGGCCAGTTGAGCCCCAGCGTTCCGCAGGTCACGCAGCCCATGGATGTAGGTATAGACGTGAGCAGCGAAGATGCACAGGCTCACGTGGCTGTTCTTCTTCAGGAATTCAACCAGCTTCCGGACACAGTCAGGGCAGGGGCTCCAGGAGATGTACCAGGTGAGTCTGTACTGCTTCTCCTGATCCAGGGGCCAAGAAGGGAACAGATCCAGGAAGCACAACTCTGCATGACAGCGGGGTAACCAGGGTGTGTCCGCACCCTGAGCACAGAGGGGGGAGAAGAGGGATCTGTCACGTCCTGTGAACCGGGAGGGGACCAGCCAGAGGCAGGCGAGGCCCTGGCCTCCAGCACAGAAAGAGGGGCACGGCTCAGCGTCAGGAGGAATGCTGTTTGGACGCAGGATGTACACGGTCAAAGGCAAGGCACTCAGGAATCACACATCAGCGTTCACAACGGGCACAGGGCAGAGAGGCCTCGTTCTGCACCCGCACACCATGGCTCCCGGGCTCTGAGACTGACCAGTCCCCACTGAGCTTGTTGCCATTTCACTCACCATGGGATTGCAGTAGCTTTGATTTTTAAATAAGTAAATAAATAGTGGGGGACAGAGGGAAGAGGCCACTGAACCCCAGGTCCTGGGCCTGATGCCTCACAGGGGGGTGCTTCCTGCAGGCAGGGGGCTCTGCGTCTGCTCCCCGACCTCCAGCTCCCTCCTGTGCACCCGCTGGTCCACAAGCTTCTACTCTGGGCTCCCCTCCCCCTCCCTGCCCCCTGCTGAGCCCAAGGGTGAGACAACTGTGCGGGGAAGAGGGAGAGGCACCGAGGCAGATGTGAGGACACACGGGGAGCGTCCTGTGGGGCTCACAGGTTGTGGAGACCAGGGGCTCAGGGAAGAGGAGGCAGTCAGCCCTGAGGGTTGGAGGGGGGGGGTTGGGGCCCGGGAGGAGTCCTGGGCTGCTTGCAGCTGGCAGTGCTCTTGTGGGACCACAGCCTGCCGGCTCTCCCAGGAGGCACTGGGGGGCGCAACAGGGCAGCTCGGGCTCTCTGGCCATGGCTGCTGGGCGGGGCCAGGGTAGAGCCCACTCTTGTCCAGGTGTCTTTCCCTCTGCCTGCCCCTCCTCAGCGGCACAGCAGGAGGGACAGGCTGAGCCTGGAGGCCCTGGGACCCTGTGCCTGCCTCCTCAGGTGTGGGGCAAAGCTGCCCATCACAGCAGCTGGGGGCCCAAGGGACATTGCTCAGAGGACACCCCGAGGCCATGGCAGCCTTCCCCCCGCATCCCAGGGGTCTGCCTGCTGGGCCCTCACCTGGTTGCGCAGGTAGCCCCAGTGCTCCAGCATTGGGGTCTAGGCGTCCCACTCCCGGTCCTCCACCTTGTAGCACAGGTATGTTTTCCTCTTTTTGTCACGGAAGTTTTCCTCGAAGGTGTTTATGTCCATCAGACGTCTGTGGACACAGGCAGGAGGAACCCAAGTCATGGGGCCCCTCTGGGGATCACCCCGTTCTCCTCCCCTCGCCACCCACATCCCAGCTAGGCCCACAGGATGGCCGTCCACTCACTGAGCTGGAGCCACCTGACCTCCCTCTCTGACCACTGCACCTGGGATGTCAGCCCAACCCTGTGGTCAGGGTTTCCCGGGGAGCAGGGCAGGGGCTCAGAGCTGTGACGGGGCCTCTCCTGGCATCACCGTCCTGCCCTCCTCCCACTGACCCAGCCCTGCCCGCTGCCGACCATGGCGCTCTTTCCTCACGTCCTCTGGGCTAACCCGAGCCCCACGGAGCATCAGGGACAGGTGGCCCCATCGGGGAAGAGAGATGCCAAACTTGTCTCTCCCGGTGTTTCCCTTCTCGTCATGAAAACAGTCATGTCCTTACAAAACACATAACCCTGAACCTGACCTCCTAGGGCCCCGGTTCAGGGCAGAGAGAATAGATTTCATGGGAGACGGAGGGAGAGGAGAAACAGGAACTCACAAGGGTGACCCCCAGATTCTAGCCGGGGGCCTAGGGAAGGGGGTAGGACAGGTCAGCTGGGCATCAGCTGAGGGGTCCTGGCTGGACATAGAAGGGCCATCAGGAGGGATGGGAGAAGCAGGGGGCCCCGGGGAGAAGGCAAGTCCCCTCCAGGGAGCCAGGAGGAGGGCTCAGAGGCAGGGCTGCTCAGGGGCCGGTGGTACCTGGCTCTGGGTGCTGGGTTGTCCGCCATGTCTCAGGTCCTTCCCCTTCTCTGTGGCCACGGTCCGTCCTCCTCCTGTGATGCTCCAAGGACTGAGGTGCCTTATATGCCATCGGAGCAGCTGGAACCTGCTGAGCGGGCACCGCTGAGCCCCACCCCTTCTCAAAACTCAAGACTCATGCCACCCGATGGAGTCACAGATGAGGAAACTTTTCTCCCCAAATGTCTCATCAGTGCCCTCAGGGCAAGTTAGGTTTTCATTTCTCTGTTCTGACAATGGCCTTCCCTGGACTGACCTTGGGCCGGTGAGGTCCCAGGAGGCTGGGCCACTGTGGGCAGCGCGGCACAGCCAGGCAGGAGGCGAGAGCGCAGGTGAGAGCACAGTGCTCCTGCCTGAGGGAGGTCCTACCCGGACACACAGCCCCACAGGACAGGCCCCGGCCCACCCTGCCTCTCCCACGGCCCCAGTGCAGGGCCTGGCAGGGGGGCGGGGGTGCAGTGCAGGGCCCTGGGGGCTGAGCCAGGGGGGGCTCTGCTCTAGAGGAAGGGCAGGCGGGACCCAGGTGAGCGCAGCTCTCCTCAGGAGCCACCCAGTAAGGGAAGGGCCTGGGCTCGGAGCCTGTGTCCGCCATCACCCTGAGGAGAACAGAGAGGCTCCCTCAGGCGCGGCCAGGATGGCCTGGGAGCAGGAGGAAGCAGGGCCCGCCTCAGGAAGGGGCCACGGCTCCTCCTCTGCACCCCGAGCCCCGAGGAACTGGGGGAGAAGGGGGACACTTTGTGTTCCAGGCTCCAGTGTGACCTGAGCCCAGCTGGTAGAGGCGGTCCCCGAGGGGCTGCCCCTCTGTCCCGCTGACTGTGCCCGCGGCTCCTCTCAGACCAGCCTGTGCCGGCCCCACGCTGCCTCCCAGGGCCGGGCCCACCACAGCCCGGTCTGTCCCTAGCGCACTCCGCGCTGCATGCTGGCTCTGAGGCTGTGGCTGATGGCCTTGCCACCAGAGGTGGTCCCACTGCAGGTGCCACAGACACGACAGAGATCGGGCTTGGCACACAGCTGGGCCTGGGCATCGGGCCGAAGTCTGCCCTGACTCACCAAACACAGACACACACACACACACACACACACACACACGCAAGCGGATGACAAGCAGGAATCTCCTAGGCTCCCCAGACACACCCACAAGGCTCCGTCGGTGGGGCAGGAAGCAGACAGGTGTGCAAGAGCCTCATCATCCAATCGGAAGACACCTTGTGGCATGTTTCTTTCGAACATATTTTTATTGATGTCAGAGAGGATGGGAGAGGGAGAGAAACCTAGGAACATCATTGGTGAGAGAATCATGGATCGGCTGCCTCCTGCACCCCCTCCTGGGGGATCGAGGCCACAACCCCGGCCACGTGCCCAGACGGGGGAATTGAACATCGACCTTCTGCTTCATAGGTCGATGCTCAAGCACTGGGCCACGCTGGCCGGGCAAGAGGCTGCTCCGTATGAGGCCCAGGTCTGCCTTCCGGTGGGGGCCCTCCCGGCGGGAGGACAGGCTGGCGTGGCCATCCCAGGGCTCGGCCGTGACCTCAGGCTGTGAGCCCCCCTCTCCGAGGTCTCAGGCCCCAAGTCGTGGGCAAAGCTCTGAGCTCTGAGCCCGCGGGCCCGGGCGACGGGGACTGGGAGCTGGGGGTCAGGTCTGCCGGGACCTGCATGTGCAGCGCAGGGAGTGGGGGCCCTGCTCTCATGTCAGACCACGCGTCCTCTGCCCGCTCCTCCGCTTTCCCAGCGTGACTGCGTCCTGGTCAGTTGCCTCCAGGCAGAGTGGGGGCTCTTGCCAGAGTCCACGGATCGAAACCCAAGGAGCTGATTCGATGATGAGGCTCTTTTTCTTCTTCTTTTTAAAAAAATATATTTTATTGATTTTTTACAGAGAGGAAAAGAGAAGGATAGAGAGTTAGAAATTCGATGAGAGAGAATCATCCCTCAGCTGCTGGGTACCTGCCCTTGACCGGAATCTAACCTGGGACCTTTCAGTCTGCAGGCTGATGCTCTATCCATGAGCCAAACCGGTTTCGGCCGATGATGAGGCCCTTGCACACCCGTCTGGGGAGTGGTGACGTCAGCTGCCTCCTTCCCTCTGACGGAGGCCTGTGGGTGTGTCTGGGGAACCTAGGAGATTCCTGCTTGTCATCTACTTGTGTGTGTGTGTGTGTGTGTGTGTGTGTGTGTGTGTGTGTGTTTGGTGAGTCAGGGCAGACTTCGGCCCGGTGCCCAGGCCCAGCTGTGTGCCAAGCCCGATCTCTGTCGTGTCTGTGGCACCTGCAGTGGGACCACCTCTGGAAGGAAGGCCATCAGCCACAGCCTCAGAGCCAGCAGGCAGCGAGGACAGCCAGCC